CCCTATCAGTTCACTCCCGCAGGGTTCGGGTGCTTGCCTGGCCTTTCAACATAGAGGAAGGAGTGCTTCGGGCTAGGGAAGGAGCCTGTCCGAGTCAAGCTGTTTAATCTGTTTGCAAAGAACCTTCCTTGGGATAAAACTTTTAGACTGCAACCAGTGTGCTTCCACAACTCAGCGTGCTTCCACAGGGCCTGAACAAGACTGGAATGTTCCCCCCTAGTTCCATTTTAAATACCTGTTTCACCAAACTTGACAGTGCTTCTCAAGAGCTGAACATTGCTCCCTTTTCAGCCCTTGGCTCTCATGTTTGCAGGGCAGTTGAATACTGCAGAGCTTTTGCTGATGAGTGGGGTAGAGAAGAGAGTTGGGTTTAGCAGGTTTTCATCTTACCCATGATAACCGTGTGCCTACAAATAAATAACCCAAATGTCTTATTTGTTTTAAAACGTTATTTGGAGCAAATCCCTTTGTATATCAAGTAAAAGAGTGAGAGGTCTCCCATTCCTTTCTGCAGTGCTGTATCTCACCCTTGCTCAGCAGGAAAAACTTGATATCAAAGAGGCTGTGTTTAATTTGCACTTGATGATCTCAAAGGTCTTTTCCAACCCAGCTGATTCTACCATTCTATGAACTGAGTTTTTGGCAGCCTTTGGGGTTGTGCTGGTTTCTGCTGGGATAGAGTCAGTTTTCTTCACAGGAGCTGGTGTTGGGCTGTGTTTTGGGTTTGTGCTATGAACAGTGTTGATAACACAGGGATGTTTTTGTTGCCAGTGAGTGGTGTTTTAGCAGGGTGAAGGCCTTTCCTGCTCCTCACACCACCCCACCAGCGAGCAGGCTGGGAGGGCACAAAGAGCTGTGGAGGAATATGGCTGGAACAGCTGACCCTGACTGCATATAATACACCATACATCATGCTCAGCATATAAAGCTGGGGAAGCTGGAGGAAGAGGGGAGAAGATGCTCTCCAGCTTTCCTGCAGCCCCTTCAGGCACTGGAGCTGCTCTCAGGTCTCCCCTTCAGGAGCCTTCTCTTCTCCAGGCTGCCCCAGCCCAGCTCTCTCAGCCTGGCTCCAGAGCAGAGCTGCTCCAGCCCTCGCAGCATCTCCATGGCCTCCTCTGGCCTCGCTCCAACAGCTCCACGTCCCTCTTGTGCTGCTGCCCCAGAGCTGGATCAGGGCTGCAGGGGGGTCTCCCCAGAGCACAGCAGAGGGGCAGGATCCCCTCCCTGAGCTGCTGCTCACGCTCTGGGGGTGCAGCCCAGCACACAGTAATACAAGATGGTAAATGGCCATTGAAACGGCAGGCTTCCTTCACAGAACCTCATTTCTAAGTGACTGCATCCAGCTGCTCTAGAAATACCTGTAGAAAAGAAACCCATTGTGGAAAAATGACAGTGAAGCTTGGCTTCTCCCCACTCTTCTGTTCGTTAGAATCAATTGGGAAATGTTTGTAAGACTTTGTAAGTGGCTTCTTCCTTCTCCAAATGGGACCAGACCCTACAAATCTCCTGCAGGGATTCACAGACATCTGCTGTGCTCTCCATCCTCAAAGAGATGTTTCCCCATGACATCTCAATTCTCTGCTATATAAACTGTGATTTTTTATCCTGTATTCTGTACGGCTTCCTTCAGAACCCTTTCAGATTTCACATTGAGATCATTAATTAAATGAATGGTTATTTTCATGTTCCATTTCTGAAGAATGTCAGCCTGATGCTTCTAGTTTCTTATTCCTAAAGGGAATGTCATTTTCCCCCTTAAACAATACTGCCATATGCTTCAGCTACGAAATCCCCATTTTCTCCCACCTAACAGTTTCCATAATTGTGCTATTTTAATGTGTTATCAAAGAGATGAGATCTATTGCGTTCACCTCTTCTGTTGGATTTCCTTCATGTAAAAAACCTCTTTATCAAATAAAATGTCCCATTACGCTGTTGCACTTTGTATTATATTCCTTCCGCACTGAAAGTTGTTTTAAAGCCCTGAGTTCTATTGTGGTTGCATAGTGGTTAGCCTGAAATCTACCTGATTCACTCTCCACATTTCCTTAAACATAGATAATACACTTATTCTTTCCCTGTCACACAGCACCACTTTCAGGTCGGTTAAAAACCCCACACATGCTCCTGGAATTGCAGTTTCATGCTCTTAGACCTGAGTCCATCCAGGGTTTTCTCTGCCCATGGCTTCATTGCTGCTCTGCCTGTTCCCATATGCTGGATGTCTCCTGCTTAATGGAAAACTGGAGAACAGTGCTCAGGTTTTGAGCCACAGTAAAATGTCCTCGACCTCACTGCAGACAGGTTCAGTCTTACTCATCAGCTCGTGGAAATAAAGTTCCTTCGGCATGTTCTCTCTGCCCTTTTATCCCTTAACTTCTCAGTCACCGAGAGGAACTCTCCTTGCTTCCTCCTGGATACCCTTCTCCCATCCCATTCCCCAGCATTGGACACTGTTAGGATTCGGCTGGACAGGTTGGACCAGATGATCCTTGAGGTTCCTTCAACCTGGGAATCCGGGATTCTGTGATCTCCTTTGTCTGGTCCTCCTGTTTTTATGACGTTTTCTTGTGGCAAAGTGGTACTTGAAGCATCTCAAGTGATTTTATCCTCATTGTATCCTCATACTTCACACAGGACTGTGCTCTGATGGTGTTTACTGGGTTTCACATCATTGTATTTCTTTTCCTCACTTGCTGCTGTTTCATGCATTCTCCTGGATGCTCAGAGAAATCATTGTTCAGCCTTGTGCTTGCTTGCACTGACAACATATAGACTGCATTGTCCAAGCATCAGTTGAACACTGATAGTCTCTGATGATCAACTGATCACTCGAAATGCCCGTGGGATTGAGGAGTGTTCTTTAGTGTCCTCCTTTAGTGTCTTTTTTGTCTCCTGTCACCAGTGTCACTCCCTCTTTCCAGTCAACAGAGAAGTTTGATGGCTACTCCAAAACCATTGGTTGCATTAAAAATGAGAATATCTCCTGGGGCTGTTTCTATCCTACCAGCCTGTGCGTAGATGAGTATCTGCTCCTTTGCCTCTACCAGTGTGAGGGCTCTGGTGCAGCTCTGCATCCTCTGGCATCACCCTGTTCCCACTGACTACTGCATTCTCCCACCAGATCCACAGGGATCCCACCTCAACAGCCATCTCCTTCCCTTCTCGTTGGCTGAACAGTGGTAGAAAGAACCTCCATCACTATGCACCAGCTTCTTGCCTCTTTTCTCACAAGGTTTTAGTGGCTGTGCTTGATGCTGAGCTGCTCTTAGGACTTGTCAGAGCCGTTTAATCACATGCTTCACATGCATCCCTCTTTGTCCCAGTGTGCAAGTGAGCAACTTCAGAAGGAAAGCTATTTCAGGGAAGAAATTACAAATGTTTCCTAATAGGCAACACAAATTATTGACAACAGCAGCATATTGCAGTGCCTAATTACCTTAGGAGAAGCTTCTACTTCTGTTCTGCCTGGGTGGCTTTTTTTGGGTAGCATATCCACAGAAAGGATTTTCAATTAACATTGACCTTTAATACTTGGGCTGGGTTTTGATTCTGCAGATGGTGAAAGGGACTACAAATGAGATTTTGCAATATACCTTGTTCCTTGTATTTCTCAGCTGATTAGTTTCAGCCTGTTCCCAGTGGCTACACAGGTGTATTCAGCTCACAATTCCCCAGCAATCTCCGGTGCCATGTTCACCCCCCTGAGATATTGTGTAGAAACGCTGTCAAACTCCTCAGATAGACATGTTTTCATTCTCTAGCTGCAGTTTTTACTCATTTTAGCAAAAACAAAGTCTTTGTTTATGGGCGAATATTGTTAAACTGAAATTCAGAAGGAAAAGAACCCGGCTGGAGTACATCTGCTGCCGATTGTAGGGGTGGTGTTGCTCATTGAGCTGCGGTTAAGGTGACTATTATACCCCAAAGAGCACAGTTATTCGTTATTGTTCTACTAATAATTGGGAAAAAGCTTAAGTATGACATAATAAACAAATCACGTTTGTCTGAGTCACTGCCATACAAAAGAGCTTTTAAGAAATATTTAATAGACCTCCGATTTGTGTTCCATTGTTGCTGTCAGCAGGGGAATCCATGCTAATTGAATATATGTTTGCTTTAAACAAGATGTCTTGAACATGATCAGCAATGACAAATCTAATAATGCCTTGAAAAGGAAAATATATCCTTTTGGATTCTAAGTGCACAGGATCATATAATCCTGGAATGGGTTGGGTTGGAAGGGCCCTTAAAGCTCCTCCAGCTCCAACCCCTGCCACGGGCAGGGACCCCTTCCACTAGAGCAGCTTGCTCCAAGCCCCTGTGTCCAACCTGGCCTTGAACACTGCCAGGGATGGGGCAGCCACAGCTTCTCTGGGCACCCTGTGCCAGCGCCTCAGCACCCTCACAGGGAAGAGCTTCTGCCTAAGAGCTCAGCTCAGTCTCCCCTCGGGCAGGTTAAAGCCATTCCCCTTGGCCTGTCCCTACAGGCTCTTGTCCCAAGCCCCTCTCCAGGTTTCCTGCAGCCTCTTTAGGCACTGGAGCTGCTCTCAGGTCCCCCCCTGAGTTTTTGATAGAAAAAATCTCTTGGTTCCTTAACTAAGCAAGGTGAAGTTTGCTGTTTCTTAGGCAAGAGGAGTAATTTTGCACAGCACACCTGCCTGCTCCTGGTCAGTAGGGGTTGAAGGTGGAGGAGAAGGGACTGCTCCAATGGAGTCATTTTGTCTAGGTCAGAAATCACGGAGACTCACTGCCTACTGCTCCGCTGACCACTCCCAGCAGGAAAGCCTGAAAGGAAGAACATAGCAGAAAAAGATATCTGTGTTCATTGTGTGTTTGTAAAGTCAGCTGCTGGTTTTATGATGATTTGCGAATTAGCAAATGGTTCACGTTCTGAGGTTCAACTCTAACATACATATTCAGTCCAAAAATCAATAGTAAGTTAACAGCGTTATGAAGCTCTCACTTTTCCATGCTTACGGTCTCCCCTTTTTCCCTAGGTGTTACTTGGAGGATGGAGCTTCCAAAGGTGCCTGGCTGAACCGGTCAAGTATTATTTTTGCTGGAAGTGACAAGTGGTCAGTAGATCCTCGGGTTTCAATTGCCACAGCAAACAGAAGAGAATACAGCCTGCAGATACAGGATGTCGATGTGACAGATGACGGTCCCTACACTTGTTCTGTGCAAACTCAGCACACTCCTAAAACGAAGCAGGTGCACTTAACTGTACATGGTATGTGCTTAAACCAACTGAAAGGACTTATTGGGGATGCACTAGAAAAAAATCAGTTTATAGATGGGAAATGTCAGCTTTTAAGCATATTTTAAGGCGCCCTGTCTCCCTTCTCTCCCTTCTCTCCCTTCTCTCCCTTCTCTTCCTTCTTTTCTTCTCTCCCTTCCCTCCCTTCTATTCCTTCTTTCCCTTCTCTCCCTTTTCTCCCTTCCCTCCTTTCCCTCCCTTCTTTCTCTTCCCTCTTCTTGGATGTATGTAGGCATAGACTACTTGTAGTTTGTATGTAGCCATACAAACAAGATGTTGTTTGTGCCATTGGCTCTGGACCAAGTAGATAGCTGACAGAAGGGTGTATAACTTGCCAAAGCCAGGTTTAAATCCTCACTCCTGCTCTGCTGACAATGGAACAAGATGTAGAAATACAAGAGGAAAACCCCAGTTTGATGGTTGTGGTGCAGTTCCCCGCAGGGGTACTCTGCTGGTATCTGTTGGGTTTGTTTAGGTCTTCTGCATGGCACCAAACCTGTTTGTTTTGGCTGGTGTTTGATCTAGCCACAGTGTGCAGGTGCATCATCAGGTGCTGAGCCACTGGAAGGTTTACATTTTAACATTTGCGTTTTAACGTTGGTACCAAATATCTGCAGAAACACCCTCACGTCCCTCAGGATATCACGGTGTGTTCAGAAACAGGCAGCGCCACTGCCGTGCTACACGGCAGGAGGGTCGCTGTGATCAGCACCTGGCTGTCCCAGGGGATGGAACAAGGCCACGAGCCACGCTGTGATGGCCATGTAACACAAGTGTTGAATCAAAGATGAGTGATGGATGCAGCGGGACAGGGGCAAGGGCACAATCTGTCACACACTGCTGGCAGGTGGCAGGGCCATGAGCTGTGCTGGCACCCCAACAGCCCCTCTGGCTTTCTGATAAGAGCTCTGAAGGGGGTGAGTTGTTTTGTGGGTTTCTCCAAGGCAGTTCCTTGAGGGCAGCTTGGGAGAAAGAACAAAAATCTTAATCCTTGGCATGTGTTTTGCAGCCCCGGTGTCCCTGGAGCTGCAGGTGTTGTGGCTCTCTGAACCCTAACCCTAAGCTGATGAATGGCATCTTGGAGCTGAGGCTGAGGTCCCCAGCTAGCACCGTGGGTGGCTCAGATGAGAAAGGTGTGGAAGGAACAGTGCTGGTGCAGTGCTGTGTTTCCCTTGGTACCCTTTTGGAACCCGGGTGTCCCTAGAGCTGTAGGCTTTGTGGCTCTCTGAACCCTAACCCTAAACTGCATGGCATTTGTGCCCTCTGAACCCTAACCCAAACACATACCCTTAATCTAAATGGTATCTTGGAGCTGAGGCTGAGGTCCCCAGCATCATGGTGGCCCAATTGAGAAAGGTATGGACAGAGCAATGTTGGTGCAGTGCCATGCTCCCGGGATGCTCATCCCCTTCCCAGAGCAGCTCAGCTGCAAGGAGGGATTCACCAGGGTGCTTCATACCCCATCAGGATGTGTCCTGCACCCATTAAGCTTTAGGTATGAAGTTTTCTGTTGATTTGATTGCCGTTTAAAAGATGCAGTATTTCATTTGAGCACCTCTTCTCTGGCGTTCCAAAGATTATTACAAAACCAAGAATTAATTCATCAGCCTAAAAAAAGCAAAGCTGGAACCACAAAGAGATTTTCCAAACGTAGAAATAGAAACTGTATTAGCTCTAGAAACTCAATATAAATTCATTAAAACCAAAATAAAGTGAGGACAGAAAGTTGCTTTTGCATTAAAATCCAGAGAGTTTTTAAATTCCAGGCTAGTTTTCTCACTAAAAACCACACAGATCCCAATGGTGTTAACAAGAACAGTCCATTCTTAGAACTAAATTGATATGAGACAGTTTAATGTTGTAAGTACTTCAGGACAACCTTGTCTGGTTTAAGCACATGGAGGTGATATTTATTGTGCTGTCCCAAGGTGGACAGTTCTTCATTCCAATGGTCTCTGGAATAGTTAATGGAGTCGTGCAAGGGGCTAAGGAAAATTATTGGAGATTAATTGCACGTCTAAAACATATAAACACAGCTTAAAATTAATTGGGCTAACTGCAAGCACATAGAGAAATAATAACCCAATAGTTAAAAATATGCATAATTATTAAGTGATTGCATTTATATCTTCAGAAATGCAAAGTATAACCCAAGGCGTTCACTTATTAGTCTTTGGTGTAATCATCATTAACATTTTCTTTTGCATTTTTATGAGTAATAAAGCCATGATTATAAACCAGAAGCATTGAAATGGCAATCTCTATTAATCCATATGGCGCACCAAAAGCCCTTGCAAATAACATATAGGAAATGTTTCTTAAGTTAATTATTCTCTACCACTGGACCTTCAGGACCCGATGGTTCATCAGAATGTGAGACTGTGGCTCTGCCAAGCTGAGGGGGTTTGTTGCATCAAGAGCATTATCATGTTTGTTAGCAAAACCCTACACTTGGCCATTTTTACAGCCTTCCTCAGAGGCAGCTGCTGCAGGAAGCCCCATAAAGGTGCTGTTTGTGGGGGGGTTGTTCAGAGATCGCAGAAGTGTTTGCATCCCATCTGCAATGGAAGCTGCAACGAAGAAGCTGTGACGATACAAATTATTATTTCAATTATATATATATATTCAGTTACTCCAATGTTATTTCAGGTATATTTTGTGTAGGAAGAGAAGGGGGGAGCTCCATGAAGCACAGGCAGAGCAAGGGAGCGATTTGCAAGATAAAATTAAAGGAAAAAAATATCATTTTCCCTGTATTTTTCCCTGTGTGGTTCTCACAGCACTTAGCAAGAGGGGAAAGCTGCTGAGCTCTGTGCCTATAAAGCCCAGTTCTGCAGTCTCTGGGTGGTGGAGAAGGACCACCAGCTCTGAAGGACCTCAGAGCAGCTCCAGTGCCTAAAGGGGCTGCAGAAAACCTGGAGAGGGGCTTTGGGCAGGGGCCTGTATGGACAGAAGAAGGGGAATGGCTTTAACCTGCCTGAGGGGAGACTGAGATGAGCTCTTAGGCAGAAGCTCTTCCCTGTGAGGGTGCTGAGGCGCTGGCACAGGGTGCCCAGAGAAGCTGTGGCTGCCCCATCCCTGGCAGTGCTCAAGGCCAGGTTGGACACAGGGGCTTGGAACAAGCTGCTCCAGTGGAAGAGGTCCCTGCCTGTGGCAGGGGTTGGAGCTGGAGGAGCTTTAAGGGCCCTTCCAACACAAACCATTCTATGATACTATGATATTACTGTAGGTATGTGTAAGTATGAGCTGTGCAATGGATGCTTGGTGGATCGAGTGCAAGTCATGCCAATCACTCAATCCATATGGGTAGGATCCCACCTTGACTCAGCGTTGGGTTTTGCACAGTGATTTAGAGAGACCTGCATGGAGACTTCCTAGTCATCATCTATCCAGTGGGATAGGGAAGTGAATGAGACTTGTGCGTGTCAGCGCTTCTAATCAGGTCACTTTGTACTTACAGTGCTCACAAAGCCACCGCTCCACCTTCCATGGGCTGGGACTCAGGAGGTAAGGATGCAAGATTCATGCATCCTTTGAGACGGAGATTGACCTGTCTGAAAGTAAAGGAGACATCAAAGAGCTAATTGGTGTTATAAGCTTATATGCCCTTTCCCACTGAAAAGGGTTCATAGGGATGATATAGTAACATTTTATGGAAGCAGTTTTATGCTTCCCTTTAATATCGTTCACAGCTTTGTATTTTAAGAGTAGAAACAAATTCTACTGTTGGGGAGAAATAAATGAAGGGAAAAGCAGGTTTTTTTGTCAAAGTAAAATCATTCCGTCAAAGGGCTGGGTTTCCTTTTGCATCGTGAATAAATGATCAGCAGCAGACCTAGAGCAGCACATGAGATTACAGGGGGAAAAGAGCATTTAAAAGTAATCTTAGCCCTTTAAAACTGCTCTCTCCTACAGGCTCCATTCTGTGGAGTAACACTGTCAGAAGACATTCTCCTGCTGGAAGCAGCAGAGCTGGAGAAGCCAGGATGGTGTGCTTTGTGTCAGAATTAAAGGGATAAAGACTTGTGTCTGATCGTAAGCTCCCAAATAGGTTCAGACTCCTGACTGCAAAAGTACATGCAGTGAAACCCCACTTTAAAAGCTCCGTAAATCCATCTCTCTTTCATTTGCTCCCTCCCTTTTTTTGGTCTGTGTGTGAGGTTTTTCTCTATGCAAGACCCAGAGCTGTCATTTTGAATATACTGTTCTTTGCTGTTTGGGCTGACAATTTCTGAACACGTTTGTGTAAGTGATTCAGAAAATAAATGCATTTTAATGGGTAAAGATGCCTTCATTTCCATGGATAAACCATGGAAAAGCAACATGATCAGTAAATAATGGAGGCTGAAGAGAAGCAGCAGCTTCTCCATCCCTCTCCCATGGGGGATACAGGGAGCAGTGAGACTTGGTGGGGTTTAGCCACAGCCAGCCAGGAACAGTTTCAGTCTCCCACAGCTCTGCTCAACACCTTAATGAGACCACCAAGTCAAGTCTGGTTAATTATTACATAGTTATGCCCTTTTGTACCTAGGAAATTAATCAAGATAGTTAATAAAGAAGAAAACAGAGCCTAATGTGTCTTTAGCCCACATTTACTTCAGTGCAAGAAAATCACATGAACGCGAGGGAGATCATTTGGTTAACTTCACTTCAGTGAGTTTATTAAAGAAGAAGGGAGACTTAGGAAGTCATTAATGAAAAGTTTAGCAGGTTGGAGTTTGTAATCAACTCAATGTACCCCAGCGCCAGATGCTTGATCTGCAAAGTCATGAACTGCAGGTGATTTAAACATCAGCTCTTTGCCACGGCGAGGCACGAAATGAAATACCTCTTACAACGCTGCATCGCTCATCATTCTTCTAGCAAAGATTGCAGCGTCTGCCATTTCTAATGTGACATTTCTTCCAGCAAAGCTTAAATTGCATCCTCTGAGCCACATCCCCCATCCAATTTGCGAAAATATGAAGACATGT